CGGGTACACTTACCCAGAAGTGCCCCCGGGTTGTGCCCCACACAGCACATAACAGACGCCTTCGGGATCACTCCTTTCAGAAACCCAAGGCTTCATATCAGGGCACCCCTCGGGAATTTCCCCTCAACACTGCAAACCCGGGTAGCCCCCGGGGAGTTGCCTTCATTGACGGATAACCCGTCGCACACAGGTAATGGGAGCCCTCGGGTATCTTCATCACCAACTAATCAACAAACAGTGGACCCCCCGGTAACAACTCCGCTGCCGCCCTCATCCAGCAGGCCCTCGATCCCCGGATTGAGGGGCTCCCCTTCGGCATCCCCAGGATATCAACGGCAAGCCTTCGGCTGATCAATACATGAGCCCTCAGAAAAAGAAGAGCCTTCGGCATTACCGTTATTCTCCATTTTTGACCAAGGTTTGACATTTTCGATTCATCATTGGGGGAATTCGGTGCACTCTTTTTCCCTCATTAGGATTTTTTCCCCCAGGGTTTTTCCTAATGAGGTTTTTAACGAGGCATCCCCCCAAAATGAAATGAAAAACGTCAGCCTTCGGCCCACAACAGCAACACAACTACTCTACTCCTTTTCACCACTTTACAAGTGCCTCAAGGAGTGGGGGACTGGAGGACCCCCTCGGGAAAATCATTAAATTACAAAATTAGTGAAATTCCAACAAACGACAAGGCAAGCCCTCAAGTCCCGACATGTGGGTAACTGAGGGACTGCCTTCGGCAGGGACATAAAAGCAACAACTCCTCACCAACTTCAGAGATCACGATGGGACAACATCAAAGGGCAAGCACGAGTTACTCCTTTTCCCTCAAGTACCTTTCGGCAAAAGGAGTGAGGGACTCCTGATGGAGTATATGGCCCGGGAACCCCCGGCCCACAGACTCCTACTACTCCAGCGAAGGCCCAACAGGCCCAGAAGGCCCAACAGGCCCAGATCACAGCGCCCAGAGTACCAAGCAGCCCGCACTACGCGCCAGGGGTGCCTTCGGCCCCCTGGCCGAAGGCTCTAAACTCTCACAGGACGGGCTTCGCAAGCAAATTAAGAAACTGGGAGAAAACGGCGAAAACAGTAGCCCTCGGCACTGTGAGCCCTCGGCACCAGAGTGCCATCGGTTGGAGGAGCCCTCGGCCATTGCTCTATAGCCGAAGGCATCTCACTCGACAAGATATCCGCCTCACATGCGTGCAGATCACCGTACCCTGCACAGACGTCCCATCCAACAGCCGCATTAAATGCGGCCACATGCGGCTGCCAGCGCCAACCAGTTGAGGTGACCCCTCGGCCAATGAGCGCTTGACACGTGTCCCTGTCCGGCATTTATTGCTACTATAAATAGCACCCCGTTTCCTCATTTGTAACCACGCTGAAAACGGCATTCATACTGAATACACTCTCTCTCTACTTTTACTTACTTGCTCCGACTTCTCTCTAAGTTATTCCCCGTAATAACCCTTCGGATATATACCCCCGGGTGGACTATCCATCACTCTCGTTGAGAGGTCGAACAATCAAGTAAGAACCCCTCCCCCCCAGAAAACAAAAACATTCATCAGAATGGGAAGAACTCGAGGTCAATCCAAGACCCTAGAAGACAAAATTCCAGGCCTCGGTGAGGTTAACGTTGTTGAAGCTTCAAACAAGGCTCCCGAAGGCGAGGCCCTCGCTGAAATGGAGCAGGCTGCTGTTGACCCGCGCCTTCAGCTCCAGAGGAATGCTCCCGAAGCTCGTGTCGTCCTCGAAAACTGTAGGAAGGATCGGAGTGAAAACCAAGTAAGCCCTCTAGTCCTAACTATCGACGTACAATCGGCTTTCTCTGCCTTCAACCACACTCTCACCTAGAACCCTGGTGCCTTCGGGGATCTGGTACCACCCAGACCCACATTGGGGAGAACGTCATTCCATTCCCACCACCTCTGCCCCTCTTCGTAAGCCCAGTTCAAAGAATCGAGAATAACGAGGGGGTCTTAGGAAGTTCAGTCCCGGGACAAGCGCGGTGCAAACAGGCCCCGAAACTCCGCCCTCGACAGGCTCGGAGGAGCGCAAGATCGTCGAGGGGTCCAAGACCGCCTCGGTGGTAAAGCATTCCAAAAGGCTCAGGAGAGCGGAGGATCCGTCTCGGGGGCATATGAGAGGCATCCCCCTCAGGACAAGGGCAAGGGACTGCTACATGTTGATGACGCTAGGAACCAGATCAACCAGGCTCACTCAGCCCGCGTACAATCACTTGGGGCGGAGCCAATCCCAAAGGATCATAGGGGTGACATTATTGAGGCCCTCCAATGACGACTTGACGAAATGGAGGCCCGTCAGGCCCGTCAAGTGGACGAGATGCAGAAAAAGCTCGCCGAGGGCTCGGGGGAGCTTGTCATCCAACTTCGCACGAAGATGCCTTTTACCCCAAGGGTATTGGCGGCTCAGATCCCTGGAAAGTACCGAGGGCAGACCATCAAGCCATATGAAGGGAAGACTGATCCCCAGGAGCACTATAGCAGGTACCAAAATAGCATGATGATGATGGGGGCCTCAGATGAATATTTGTGCCGTTGGTTCCTCTCCACCTTGGAAGGACCACCGTACGAATGGTTCAACCGATTGCCAGAAGTGAGTATTGAGTAATGGCAAGAACTCGCGCAGCGTTTCCTGACGCAATTCACGGGAAGACACCAGTCAAAGAAGCATTTCTCCCACTTATTGATAGTAAGACAACAAAAGGAGGAGACCCTCCGGGATTTCTTGGAACGCTGGAGGCAAGAAACGGACAAAGTCGATGGCGCCAACGACAGGACGTTGATGGCCCTCTTACAGACGGTCCTCCGTTTCGGGAACTTCTCGAGGAGCCTCATCACCGAACCACCTCGCGACTACATAAGGGCCCTTCAAAGGGGAGACAGGTACGCCGAAGCTGAGGAGGTAGACAAACATCGCCAAAAACCTGAGCATCCCCACAAGCCAGAAGGCAAAAACCACTGGAATCCGGGGGCTCCGCCCCATCTAGCGAAGGTGCAATCCCCTTTTGGTGATCGTCCCAGCATGGCCAAGCCAAGTCCGGGGGAGGTTACAAAAACAATTTGAGGGCATGGGCACAACCCACGCTTTTAGAACACCCTCGGATACCCCTGACGCACCCCATCAACGTCATCCTAGACTACGCCGAGGAAAGGGGGATAGTGGAGCGAGATTCCAGGGCAACTCAGGAGGTGTACGACATCAATCCCAATGAACCATACTGCCTTTTCCACCGTCACCCAGGGCACCGGACCGATGACTGCCACCAGCTGAAGGTCGCCATCGAGAAACTGATAGAAAGGGGTCATCTGTCCCAATTCATTAGGGGTTCCGCTCATCAAGGCCCCCCTATGAAAGCAAATGACTGGATCAACCCAAACACCATACCCCTCGGAGATCCAAATGGTAAGACGCGGGAGATTGGAAACCTCAGCGTGCTAGAGTCCCGCTTTAGTCATCATTATAACGTGCTAGAGTCCCGTTTTGGTCATCACTACGTTGTGATAGAGCCCCGCTCTAGTCACCACTACTTTGTGTTAGAGCCCCACTCTAGTCACCATTACGATGTGCTAGATTCCCGCTCGTAGTCACATCATTCAATCCCTAAGCATTCTCTATGCCTAGATTTAAAATTTACCTTGAGTGGCCCTTAAGGCCTACCCTTCGTATAACTTAGAGCTCATACAATTCAACCTTAAAGTATCTCTTAAGACTACTTAACGCATAACTTATCACTATCCAATTCGTTAGGATTAATTCTATCACTATTCGTATTAACATCTCGACTAGTATTTTAATACTAGTCGTACAATCTTAAAACAACCAAGTTCTTAATTCATAGTCATATAGTTCATTCCGATTGATTCACCAATCAAAATATAATTTAATCTCAATATCCAAAATATCACTTTTATCCATTTATGAATCATTTACATGAAGTAAAAATATATTTCATCACAAGGTTTCACAGTTAATTCAACTATCATGTCATCATATCTATATCACATGATCATACACAATTTCTTCTAAATTTGTATATCATGCTTCTTTTACTCATAGACAATAATATTTTCATTTAGACATTATTGATCATTATTAATCCATGAAAAATCATATTTAATTATCTTAGGTAATCTTATGAAATTAACTCGCTAATTATAAGCAATATAGTCAGCCATCATCACCTTATGATGTGCTTAACTAGTTGCCTTTGCTAAGCTCCTCGATCAATCCCCGTTCTAGGTCGATTCAAAGTGAAAAACGGGACTGCAGGCCAAAAGCCGGGCAGCTTTCACAGGAGCCAGATGGCGTTCGTAGTCTGCAGTACGGGCAACCTCTCTTTTCTTGGTGGTTTCCGGTGATTTCAACTCCTATCGATTCCACGACTCTTCTAAGTTAAATACCACCAGTTTATACAATATTCTACACTTTTAAACGTGTGGAATCTCATGTTTAATCCACCACATGATTTCTTAAAAATCATACAAAATAATACTAGCTAAAGAATGTCTGTTGAGTTCTTACCTCAAACACTAACTTTTTTTCTTGGATTTTCCGAGCTTCTTTCTTCCTCCAACTAAGGCTTTGAGAGCTTTGGTTCTCTTTGAACTTCCCTCTCTTGTTTTGGCTTGGCCGAATGAAGCAATGATAGGGGGAGACATCTCCTCTCAATCAATTAGAAAAGATGTCAAGAGTAGGACATGGGAGTACGAGCGTTTTGTCTCTATGAGACTTCCCATTGCTCTCATTCGCACATCCCCTCATTCTTGTCTTACTCTCCATTATTTGATAGTGTTGTTCCGCTTGTTCGATACTTCGATCTCCAACTAGGAGCGAACCCGATACTTACCCGTTGTGACACCTCCTATCTACTGATTGAGCTATGACACCAGTTCATTTTTAAAGGGAAGGTCGAGTATGAAATCAAACAGGACATATTAGTCGTAGTGTCCTACATGTTCCAAACCAGGCTTACAAAGTCACAAGAAACGACCGTCCACTAATGTGGTTGTGTCATCCGTCATGCACCAGGCATTACATTTCAGAGTCTTTATTTTCCTTTTCCTTTTATATTGTCGTTTCCTAAATACTTCCAAAACCTGTATACGATTCTTTTTTTAAAGCTCATAAATTACTGTAATACACTCGTAATTACAATTACACGTATACATTCCTGTTCTACTGACGATAATGACAGTAGTTAATTCAATCTTAATTACTATTATGCACATACATTTCTCCTTTTCCCCTTCTTGGAAAATTTCCCCTTCCCTCTCGCGTTTCCTGAATTTTCCAAAATATCAAGAGCTCCGGTCTGTCTCATGGCCGTCCGAGTCCATATCGTTTCTCTCTCCATAACTTCCTTTTCAACATCTATATCTTCTAAATAGAGAAATATCCATATTTATATAGACGCAGAAATACTTGTGCTTATTCATTTCTCTATCAGAACCCAGGTATTCTACAAGGTGACTTTTCTTCTTGTTCCTTACATTTGTATGGACACGACTCCTTTGAATTCTGTGGGATTTCATTTTTTTCTTGTGAATCTTTATTTGATGGATCCCTCAAGTCTTTATTTTTCTGCTCTTTTTGTATATTGGGCCATTGCAAGCTTCGATTGGTGATTACTCTGCGTATAATTAAAAAAAAACGAAAATTTTACAATTTCATGGCTTAAAAAATTGTAAAATCGGGCTAAGCAAACGTGCTTCTAGTGTGTACGGCCTTAAAGTTTTGATCTTTTGGAGGAAAGCTGGGGAATTATACGCAAGTACTTGCTATTTGTTCCACAAACTTATCACTCTTGTTTAAGTTTTTCTGGATTTATTTGACCTAGAACTCCAGAAGAAGCTAGAGCTGTTTATAGTTTTATTTATAATTTTACTTTAAAAGTTAGTCACAATAAGAAAGTGGTGTCTATAGTCACTATTGGAACTGGAGCTGTATATTGGAATTATCCAAGTCCCCCCCCACCCCCCTTTTCAATTTCTTTATTTTTAATGATTCAATGAATTTTGTTGAGTGCTAAGGCATTTTGTCTAAATTGTTGTTCTTCATTACAGGTAGAGACGTATGTTTCTTCCGAGAATGAATATTTATGGAGAGAAATTGGTACTTTCTCCTCATTGACATCTCTTTTCGATTATTTCAATTATAAAGATCAAGATCTGCATATACATATAGATATATTCTCTAAATCATTTTACAAAAACAATCAAGTTATCGTTTTTCCTTTTTTGGTAATAGAGAGAGGAAATACTTGGTATGGAGAAAATAGATGAGCCAGGCAGCCCTAGTTGGGGAGCGTCTTTATTCCAGACAACTGAAGATGTTGCAAAAGCAGTTGCTGCAGCTGCAGCTTCTGTGCGGTCCCCACGCCCTTCGGTGGTATATTCTTCCAAAGATGACAGTGGTAGCCCAATGAAGAAACTTCAAAACCAAGTGTCTAAACTGATTAAAGGCTTATCAAGTCCTCCCATGGCGAAAAGCAGGCTTTACAACCCAGAAACACTGACAAGCCAAAAACGCCAATGGGCCAGCTTACAGTTGCAATCTCTTGTACATTTTTTTCTGTACTAGAATTTGTGCATGTACAAAAATTTATGCATTTTTGTTTTATTTGGTAATTATCTTAACTTAAGTCTGCAGGATCACAGAGTATGGAAAGAACCATCCAGGCTTTTTGAGAGCATGGTAGTGGTTGGACTTCATCCTAGTTGTGATATTCAGGCACTTCAAAGCCTTTACTTTTCAAGGAAATCTGAAGGATCTGGAAGATTTAGAGGTTCTATTGGTGGTCAGAACCATTCACGGGTGGAACCCAACCTTGAACCTCAGGTTCCATTCCTCATTTTTTTCATTCCCCCCCTTTCAAATCTGGACATTTGAACAGGCAACGCGCCGCATCAGCGGCACGCCGGTCGCTTTTCGCGATTGGTTTGTAATATTATATCTTTTTTTTGACGTATAGGTCTTGTTCGTATACCCCCCAGAAAAGCAACTTCCTCTGAAATATAAGGATCTTCTTTCATTCTGCTTCCCAGCTGGAGTAGAGGTTTTTCCATACCTACATTTCTTCAATTTGATTCCCAAAATTCAATAAATAAAACGATAACACTTTATGATTCAAGAATGACTTGTTTTGCACTTAATAGGGAGTTTGTATTATTTCAGGTTCATGGGGTTGAAAAAACACCGTCAATGAGTGAGTTAAATGAAATGCTTTTAGGACAGGTATTGATTCTTTGACCATTGAAGCTCTAGCAGAAACATTTGCACTTTTCTTATTATAAAATATACATACACTTAAACTGTATGCCATATGCTTTGTTTGGTCTGGGAAACAAAAGAAAAAAGAAAATAGAGCGTACAAATAAAGAGATAAATAAAAATGGGTATTGGGATAAGAAAAAAGAGAAGCAAAAGAGGAGAGATAATTATTTATGTTTTCTATTCTTTAGTGGGTTAGATACAAAAAGAAAAGATAGAAATGAGTATACAACAACATTATCCCAGTGCTGCAAAGGTTCTCACCTACGGTGGGGTAAGGGGATTAGATGTGCACAGCCTTACCCCTGTGCTAAAGGGGTAAGGCTTTATAAAAGATAGAAATGAGTATGTTGATATTTTTATAGGACAAAAAGATCCACAACAACAACATCCAAGCCTTAGTACCAAAAGAATTTAGGGTTGACTAACATGAATCGACACATGAAATGATCGGAGCTAAAAAGATGAGATAGATACGAAAGATAAAAAGATAAGTAAGATAACAAGATAAGGTAAGAAAAATAAAATAAAAAAGAAAAGATAAAGATAGAAATGATAAGATAAAAAGGATAAAAAACAAGATAAAAATGATAGAAGGATAGAGAACTTAGAAAGATAAAAGAATAAAAATATGGAAAGAGGTCAATTCTCCACACAAATATTCTCCCTCCACTTTGCTCTCTCCAAAGTCATACTCTCATCCAACCCAAGAAGAAGCATATATTAGGACAAAAATCTCTCTAGTATAAAAATAAGAATGGAATTATATGCATTAGTGGAAGGGTACTAATGTCAAGAGTACTAAGGCCAAGAGAGGTCAAATCATGGGAGTGGCTTCTTATACACCGTTGTTGTGGGACCCTTCCCCAGACACTGGCCTTGTGGGGATGCCAATGTGCACTAGATTGCCCTTTTAGTGGAAGGGTACTAGTGGAATAACAGAAAAGTTGGCTCTTTTTTATTTACTTCTCATGTAGGGAAGACTTAAAATGACATGGACCCCCATGTATTTTTCCTCTGCTTTTTATCGTCCAAGGCAAACTAAAGAAATGACACCCACCTTCTCTCCTTCATTTTCCTTTTCATGTTTTCACCTCTACCAAACACACAGTTAATGTGTTGTTAACTTTGCAGGAGCACCTCAAACAAAGCGACCAGTCATTCGTGTTTAGGCTCCAGGTATTACACTGTTTCAGTATATCTGCTATATAAACATATTTGAACTTTTGGATTTACTTCCATTGAGTGTTTCATGCAATCTGACAAGTGACAATGTTTCTTTCATAGGTTGCCGACAATTCAACCCTTTATGGTTGCTGCGTATTAGTTGACGAAATAGTACAAAAACCCTCTAGCTTGATTTCTATGATGTCAGAAGTACAGCCTGTTCAGATTGGCCTGAGTCGCCACATTTTAACCACACGCCGTTGTTATTGTATTCTTTCCAGGCTTCCATATTTTGAACTCCATTTTGGTGTACTGAATAGGTATATGCATATTTCTTCTGTTTTATTCATCAGCATGCCTAGTGTTATAACTGATAGTCTCTCCTGTATCAATATGAATAACATCTTATCACCTGCATCACTTCATCTATGATAGCATCTTCATCGAGGAGAGGTTGGAGCGATTAACAAAACAAATTGGCGACCTTGATATAAATTCCTCTGCAATTTTCAATGACAAAGACTTGTTTGGAGAAAATTATCCCTGCATTTCATCTGAAGATAAGGAACACACTCAGTTGGATGCAACTGCTACTGTTGACAATTGTCGATCAAGCAGAAGTGTGTCTGTTGCAGTGGTAACAGAATCAGTTACAGCGGTAACAGAATCAGTTACAACTGTAACAGAATCTTGTCCTGTCGATGAAACTAAGAGGGAAGCTTGCCCGCCTTCAAATGAGGCTAGTAAGGGTGACATAGAGAGACACCATGAAACTAAGAATAGTTTCCCCTCTTTGAAGGAAATAAGCAGCGATGGGGACACAGAGAAGGACTGTGATCATAAAGAAGAAATAAATGGATCACAAAGAATTGATACTGAAGATAACATAAATTTGGTCGAGAGGAGTACGCCAAATGCTATCTTGCCTCTTTTGCGATATCATCAATACGAGAGCTCAGATTCTTCATATAGGTACATTATTTCTCTTTGTAAAAGTCGCTGCTTCTTTAGCCATCACTCATCAACTTGTAAAATGTTATGCTACATCTTCTAAGGATAAATAACTGTTAAAATATAAGGTTCCTATTTCAATAACTACTACTACTACCTGTGTCCTGCTTTAACATTCTCATTAAAAAATGACACACTTTAAACAATAATTAAAAAGGGTAATTTGAGTGTATTTTGAAAAATAATTTGGGTGGGTATATAGTATAATGGGTTAGTTAATAATAATTGTGATGTTATGGGGGTATTAATTTTAATATGTGATGATTAAGTTGTCATTTTAGAGAGTGAATATTTCCTAAAATGGAAATAGGAACCTTTTAATGGGTCATCCAAAAGAGTAATAGAGAACCTTTACTTGGGACGAAGGTTGTATTAGGTAATACTTCGTATAATTAACATTGTTAAACCAAGAAATAAATTATAGAAAAGTTTCATTTATGGTCTCATGACTATTAGGCCATTCTCATTTTTATTTATAAATTTTATTTCTCTACTTTTTGTGCATGACTAATGTTACCACTTTTGGTCATTTACGGCTACTAATCCAGCAATTATCGGTCATTTGTTACATGACTATTGTTTATAAGTGGAAGTGTGGAACCAAAAGCAGAAATGACCTTTTAGTTTTGGGGACGAAAAGTGGATTTGTTTCCATATTTTAAAAATATAACTAAAGACTAAAAACCTTTGCACCTTTGTTATCTCCAGATACAGCCAAATTTTCTAACCTAAAGACTGATATAGTCTTTATAATTACTATGGTGCAGTTTTCAGGGGTCTCCAAGTGAAGATAGGCATATTAGGAGTGACATTGATGAAGCAGATACAGAAGTATCTTTTTCAGGACAAGATGAATCCAGTCAAAATAGTGATATTCTGGAATGGGCTAAGGTTTGTTCTTTTTATCTATTAGATACTGTCCGTTCTTAAATGTGCCAAGGCTCTTAGCGCTTCCCTTTCATCACATTCAAGTTGCAGGACTGTCACCATGGTTCTTTGCAAATAATATGCGAATACTACAAGCTTGACCTGCCTGCACATGGTTCAGCAATTAAGTTCCACCCTCTCGAACATTTGCATCCTTTGGAATACTATAGGCCTGACGAAACAGTTTTACATATTGCCGGATCAACATTTGACTTAAAGTCATGCAGTACAAGTTTGGAGCTTGCAGAGGTACATTTACAGATTTTGAATGTTTGTGGTTAAGACAAACCAGAAGTTGGGGGCTTTTTGTAACTTTTATGGATCATTACACCACCTTGTTTGTTTCTCTTTTTTCTCTTTTTATCCTTTTTAACTCTGATGTCATGCGTCGATTCATGTTAGCCGACCCCAAACTCTTTTGGGACCAAGGCTTGGTTGTTGATGTGTTGTATTATACCACCCGATTGGGTTGTTTTTGCAGGCCCACAATGCCCTTATGGTGGAAGAGGAGGCAACTGCTTTATCAGTGTGGGCTATTGCATGTTTATGTGGCTCCTTGCGACTGGAATACGTATGTACATGATTTTAAGTTTATAATAACTTCATTTTGACTAGAGGATATTAGGAGTTGTATTCAAAGTTTAGAGCCTGTTTGATATGGTCTAAACTGGTTGAAGTGACTGTAAATTCGCAGGATCTGTGAAATTATCTAAAATATAAATATTTAAAAACACCTTACAGAGATATCTATAAAATAAAGGTTGAAGTCCCATTCTCTAGTTTTCAGTAATTTCAGCCAGAAAGAACAACTTTTTTCATTTTCAAATGATTTCCAGTGTAGTGATGAAATATTTCAGGTAAGAATAGCTGAAAATGTCTACCAAGCATGCACTTAACTTTCATTTCACTTAAAATGAGCATTGGGTGACGATTCATGGCATCTCTTCATACATGCATGCTACAGGTCTTGACACTGTTTGCAGGAGCTCTTTTGGAAAAGCAAATTGTTATAGTTTGTTCGAACTTGGTGAGTGCCCCTTACTCTTCCCTTTTTATTTGAAGAATTTACTTTTATTTTTATGTTATGTTATACACACACACACACACACACACACACACACACACACACATATATATATATATATATATATGTGTGTGTGTATTTATATGTATATTCACTATTTGTGGAAGACAAATTCATCTATTTCGTAACCTTTTTTTGACTTGATAAGTGTCTGCTACTATGTATTTGACTTTTGCACCCTTTGTTTATGATTATGATCAGAGTCAGGCTTATGTCAATCTATAGGATTTCCTTCCTTTTAAAGCAATTGTGTTATTCACTTTCCCTCTAATGGAATATGCAGGGTGTATTATCCGCTTGTGTTCTGTCCATTATTCCACTTATACGTCCTTACCAGTGGGAGAGCTGGTTAATGCCGGTAATTGCTCCCCCTACCCATTCATTTCTCTTTTCGGATGACTTTAGTGCATTAATAACACTTGAATATCCAGGTTTTGCCAAATGACATGCTCGATTTTTTGGATGCACCTGTTCCCTATATCGTGAGTGTTTTTTCTAATAAATGGTTTTTCTTTTTCCTCTTAGCTCCACCTAACTCTCATGACTAAGCCTTCATGCTGATACCAAACAGGGACAGATTTAAGGGGGGGGGGGGGGCGCGGGGGGCGACCCCCCTTAACTTTTAATTTTCAAAATTAATATATAGCATTACATAATGTAATACATAATTGGAGATTTAAAAAAAAGTATCATCTAAAATAATTTACATAACTTAAATGAATAAACAATAGCACAACTCATTGTTTAAGACATAGGATACCTATCATATAAAAATTTCTAGCTTTGTAACATTTAATTGTCTTTATTGGATGATTTGTACTTGATTTTGTAAAATATCAAACAATATTAAATACCAGACACACTAGTTAAACAATTTTTAGATCATGTGAAGTGAATCTAAAATATAAATGTTCATTGACATTAAATCACACAATTGACTTGCTTATTACTGTCTAAAAACAATTTGTTGCATTGATAATAAACTTTAACTTATTTTAACATTAATACAAATACAATATGCACCATATATGTGAATTAACAATACTATGTACTCCGTATAATATTATTCTAAAAATAATATTCTCATACATACTTTTGTAATATTAATTTCCATCATTTGCAATGGAGCCAAAGATTCATTATGTTTTGGCTTGAGATTATGATGGAATAAAGCAAAATGACTCACTAAACTGTCTGCACTTCTTTGTTATGGAGCAACAGTCAGTCCATGCAATTTTGGACGCGATTTTCATTATGGGTTATCCGGAAACAGTCTCTCTGTGCTTTAGTACAGGGGTAAGACTGCGTACATCCGACCCCCCTTACCCCACCGTAGGTGGGAGCCTTTGCGGCACTGGGGTAAATGAAAATGATGAAATGATACTATTGTAATATTAAGAAAAGTTCAATTCTCGTTACCTACGAACACCATCCTTGGTAGACAAAAATTGCAATTCAAAAACTAATTCTTTATTCTAATAAGATACATATAGTTAAACAAGACGGAAGTTATTTAAAAAACCTTGGTTGATGTGTACTTTTTAAACTCTTTACCTTCAAATAATTCTGATTTGATTTGTTATTTCTTACGCTTTAATGTATTAGTACGTTTTTAGAACACTTACAATTATAAAACTAAAATTATTTTTCCATTGTTTAAACTTAGAATGTAATAGATTTAAATATCATCGTATATGTACCAATGAATTTTTTGGAATGAAAATTAGCCGTTGAGCCCTACGCTAGCAAAAAAAATTCGCCTCACTACACAAGCAGAAAAATTCGCCCCGCTACACTAGCGATTTTTTTTCACCCCCTATACTAAAAAAAATTCGCCCCCCTTGACTTGAAATCCTGGATCCGTCCCTGATACCAAATGGATGTCTTGCGCTTCTTACCACATTGCTTTCAATTAAGTCACTTTTTAACTTTGTTTCTCAACCAACATTCTTTTTTTGTGTTCTGTTAATATTTTATTTATTCGAGTAGGTAGGCGTGAAGAACAAAGGCTCTGAAGTGCAGTCAAAGTTAACAAATGCCATTGTTGTTGATGCTAACAAGAACCAGGTATGCAAAGATGCACGTGTAGGTTTGATTTAAATGAGAAGTGTGTTTTAGGAGAGAGAATTAGAACCTGTTCTATTTCACTATAAGATCAGACTTGCAACACAAATTAGTTCACGTAGAATCAAACCAGACCAGAAAACACATGTCGAAGAGAATAGACAATATGATGCACTTTTACACATTTGCAACACACAGAATCTTATACATACTAACTTGCCTCAATTTTTATAAATTATATCTGTTTTCGTTGCAATGATTATTAGGTGAAGTCGCATTCGATACCACAACTACCCCAGCATAAGGAATTATACTCACGCTTAAGTCCATACCATGCAAAGCTTGTGGGAGAAAGTTATTTGGGAAGGAAGCGGCCGGTTTATGACTGCACAGAGGTCCAGGTAGTCCCTCCCATCCTCACCCCCTAACCTCCAATTTTTCTTCACCCACAGGGATGATGTTAACTATTGTGCCTCCCTTCTAGGTTGATGCTGCAAAGGGTTTCCTAAGAGTGTTGAGGTCATACCTGGATTCGCTTTGCTCTAATCTCAGGTGTCACACCATCACTAATGTTCAATCAAATAATGACAAGGTAGTACCCCCTCTACGTTCAGTGTCACTGAGAAGATTAGAGTAATGGTGAAAAAATATCCACCTGTCTCACGAAAAGATTCATTTTTTACCCATGTACAATGTCTCAATTTTGGGAACTTACAATTGTCATAAATCCTTTATTTTACTTGCATTTTTCTTTTTAATCTTTCCTGACTTTCAAGTTTCAACTAAAACTTTTAATACATGTGTCCTTGTGACATTTTTTTGGAAAGCTGCATGTTTTTTGGATCAAAGAGACATTTGGGACAAAAGAAGCAATTTTAAATCAGACTCGTTTTGGAATGGAATTTGTCTATACCTTATTAGTGTGCGGTTGGAGGAGGTTACTTAAATGTTTATTTTTTCAGGTATCCTTGCTATTGAAGGAAAGTTTCATTGAATCTTTCCCCTACAGAGATCGACCTTTTATGAAGGTATGTGCACTACTTAATGCAAACGTATGGTTCCGATGGGCGAAAATCAATCTGAAATTGCTAATTTGCGCTCTTTCTTTGAATGTTCTAAAACAGCTTTTCGTGGACACACAGCTCTTCTCTGTACATACCGATTTCGTGCTTTCTTTCTTCCAGAAGGATTAGAGTGAGAGATGGATGAAGGGTGGGTTTGGTTTTGTAAACGCCACTGCACTGCAGCATGTGTACTATGGAGCACAAGCTCTATAGGAACCTGTTACCTGTAATATATTAATTTTATAGTTTTTTTTGAACTTTATTCCATAGATGTCATTCCTCTCCTGAATAAAGAGCATTTGTATAGAGCTGGGAAGTATTCCTCATATTTTGGATGACGGTTTCTTATGCGGGAAGTGCTATATTAGCAATCCCCCCATTTATTTATGTGCGAAAACATCATCTCCTACCTACTTGACTACATGTATATCAATTAAAGATGTTTTTAATTGAACTGAAATTTATTTATTTAATTAAAAACATTCTAAATATCCTTTTAACAGTTGGATTCACCACAAATTGACTTGCGGAATGCCACACAAATAACCTTAACAACTTTAAATATTTGTACAAAACAGTGTATTGGATCCACAAGCAACTAGAGATGGACTTAGGGGTGGACCGGTTCTGGTTCGGGGCCCGGTTCAGACCTGGGCCCGGCTGGGCCTTGGTTCATGAAAGGAGAGGCCCGGAACCGGCCCAGGTAACCCCGGGTCTGGGCCGGGCCGGGCCTCGGTTCTTGTATTTTTTTTGGCTTTTCCTAATTAACCCCCAACCCTCCCCCCTCACCCCCAAACCACCCCAAACAACCTCAAATGGCCCATCATACCTAGCCCAACCCAAAAACTTAAAAAAAAAAAAAAAAAAAAAAAAAAAAAAAAAAAAAAAAAATTGGCCCGGACCGGGCCCGAACCGGCCGGGCCGGTTCACGATTTAGGAGGTCTGGGCCCGGCCAGCCTACCTCTTCGGGCCGGGTGGCCCGAACCGGGCACCAAATGGTTCACCGGGCCGGTCCGGGCCTGCACAGTAGCGGGCCGGTCCGGGCCTGCACAGTAGCGGGCCGGTCCGGTTCCGGGCCGGTCCGGTTCCGGGCCGGTTGGCCCGGGCCGAGTCCACTCCTAGATGAACTGGGACGGGATGTTCTGACCCGGGATCCGGCCCGGCTTGGCCGGGTGGTACCGGGACTTGGGGCCTGAACAGTTCAGGCTGAACTGGCTGTTTATGGGGTGGGCTACGGGCCCATTTTAGTGGACCGGCCCGGGCCAAATTATTATTATTTTTAATTTTTTGACATTGGGTTGCTAGGTGGGTTGGGCTGGGTGTTTTGACGGGGTTTGGGGGTGGGGGTGGATGTAGGAATAAATTCAAAAAGACTAATTAAAAAAAAAATTGACCTGACTTGGGCCTGTTTTGGCCCGGTCTCGCTTCAAACCCGGGCCGGTACTGGGCCTTCATCCTAAAACCCCAATCCCGACTTGGGGCCCAGCTTGACCAGGGTCTGGTCCATGCCTACGAGCAACTTCCTAAACTCGTAGTCGGTAGTCCTGGACTAGTTCAAGAAAAGACTGAGTTGTGAATTTATGAGAGAATTCTTCAAAGACTAAATTTTATGGAGTAGATTTTTTCATAAATAGGTCCATATATTTGGTTTTCCCTGAATAGGTTTAACCATTTCATTTCTACTTCTAATTAATTATTAATTTTTAACCAATTAATTGTTCCCTTAGTTCCCTTGACAATCAGGCCGTCCTTTGGTGGTGAGGCAGTCTATGGCGGCGACAGAAAATTCCGGCGGCGGCGAAAAACTCTGGTGATGGCAGCGGCGGCTGAAATCCTGGCAGTCCGCCAGAAAATTTTGGTTTTTATTCGGGCGGCGGTGCGGTGGCTTGGGCAGCAACTCTTACCTACAACTCTACAACTCTTAGTTATTATCATGATGCCCCAATTTGATCGATCAAATGGATTATATTTCATCTTGACAACATTTTGAAAGATCAAATGTATTGTATATTGGTTTGACCTATGTATCAATAAACGAACTACAAACGTGTTAATTTGAAAAAGGAAAACACATATGTAGTGGTATTATTCCAATCAAAAAATTCAAAAGTAGGCTTTTTAAACCAACTATTTAATGTCTTGGTACATGACAGATTACTAGTTTTTTATGTCATTGTAAGTAAACTATGTTATCTACTTATCTATCCTTTGTCTTCTGACAAATGCATAGTCGAACTCTAATAATTGAATTATATAAAGTTTAAAAAGTTAATTGAATTATCTGTAACTAGACTACCTGGCATATATGTAAACATCTAGAGAGAGTATAAGGTTGGGCATCTTCATATCCAAAATCTCCTTGATAAACTAAATCAAATAAATATGTGCATGTATGCCCCATGCAAATGTATTTGTATTCTTCGTGCATCGCATGGGTACGATACTAGTTCAATAAAAATGGAAAACTATCAAATATATCCTCATACGGTTAACAAGTTACGTGCTGATGCAGCGCACTCCTGACTCAATGTGATGTACATGTGGCGGCCCACAACACATTTCCCCCCTCCCCCTTTTGCTTTTCCCTCTTCTCTCTTTCTATTTCATTGTTGCCCTTTTTTCTCCGTTAACGACCTTTCGGTTCAAATATGGCACCTTTAGTCACCTGTGCTTTCTTCATTGCTACTTCACTTTCCATTCTTCGATGTTCAGTGTTGCCAGAGAGGAGAGGGAGGGGGCCTTCACTGCTTCCTGAGGGGAGGTGTGTGTCCTACGGCGCCGAGTTGAGGATGGCTCATCGATTTCCGTTTTTCTTTTCCATGGAACCCAAAGCTGGCACAGGTCATGCACACGTCAACTCTAGAGCTACCACTCATTCTTCGGGAGATGACATCGAGAGCTCCAAGTTGGCCGACACACCTTAGCCTGGCATCGCTAACTCCTTCGATCGGACGTTGTCTCATCTCTGATCATTCTATGTGATCTCCTCCCATTCGCATAGAGGAGTTGCCCTCTCCGGGTTGAACATTTTATTAAAATTCGAGAGTTCAATTCGGTGTTTTCAAAGTACCAAATTTAATTGATTTTTTAAATGTAGTATAGATGTTTATTTGACAGTTTTCCCTTAAAAAGAAATGTACTATGTTTATTATTATGGAAGGAATGTATTGACCTATAAAAGGAACTAACATATAAAGGCGCAAAATCCTTAATTATGTTAGACCATATTAGGTTTTAGTAGATCAGATTAGATCTAATCACACTAGACGAAACTTAGACAATAACGAATTACGCATAAAACATGCTTTTACCCGACTGAACGATCGAATGAGTGACTTAAACATGATAGATCAAACTGTAAATATCAATTGAATTCTGTTTGTTGAGCTTGAAATCTAACAGCTTTTGGGTTCTTCCAACGTGTAGTCGCCAAGGATTTTACAGAAAAACTTGAGACATTATTTTACTTGCGTCTTTGGATAGAACTGGAAAATAAAGTATGCATTAAACAATTTAAAAAAGGAAGCAACTTTATTACAAGAATGAGGATGCAATTAAGATAAGAGTAAGATAATGACAAAGCAAAAGGAGGGTACAACCCCAAAAGCTTTTAAGAAACCTTTCATTCCCCTCGATGGATTATCGACTCAGAGGCTTTTTAATCATATGACGAGGTTGAAAAGTGACGTCCCACGTTTAAATTGTAAAACAGGAGAACATTTAAAAGTGACTTGGCCTTATGATTGATTATTTATGGCGTTCTGAATTTGCCTTTTTTTAGATAAAATTATATTTAATTGGCTAGGAATTAGGGTGACACATGGAGATGTATGGAGCCTGACTCGTAAAAAATAGTTTACAAAAGTTGTAAATTATCTTTAATTTTTCCTCTAATAGTACAAAAGTAACTTTAATGGATAAAGATGTAACTAGGGTTGGACTCGGGTCCGGGCCGGGTCCGGGCCGGGGGGTCAGAAATGGTGGATCCGGGACCGGACCGGGTAACCACCGGGTCCGGTCCGGGTCCGGGTCCGGGCCGGGCCGGGCCGGGCCCATTATATTTTTTTTGTTTTCCTCTTCCTAATTAACCCCCCTCCCACCCCCAACCCCCCAAACCACCCCAAATGGCCCAAAATACCCAACCCAACCCGAAAATGTAAAAAAAATTGGGAAAAAAAATAGTTTTTGGCCCGAACCGGGCCCGGGCCCGGCCGGGTCGGGCCTTGTTTTGGGTGACCCGAGCCCGGACCGGAAAACCCACGGGCCGGGCCTACCCGGACCGGTCACTGACCGGGCCACCGGGTCGGGCCGGGCCGGAACAGTACCGGTCCCGGGCCGGTTCCGGGTCGGGCCACCCGGCCCGAGTCCATCCCTAGATGTAACTATTATTAAAATATTTTACAGATGTGATCACAGATTTATATGGAGTACGCCAACATGCTCAATACAGAGCACGTTGGTATGAGATAAATGATCCAAATTACACCACATTTATAGATGAGTGAATCATGATCATTAGTCATATCAACGTGTTTCGTATTAAGCACATTGACATGCTCCATATTTACTCGACCAAATACCACTATTGGTATATGTTACAGTCAGTGACACCTTGAGTCATGGTTGGCGAGAGTTTTTTCAACAGGTTTTCCGGTAATTTTTACCTTTTCAATTTTTATTGGTAACATTTCCGATGACTTTCCATAAACAGCGTTGCTACTTGTACTCACCCCTTGTACCCCCACCTTTATACTCATCCATGAGAGACTATTTTTTGTATGTAACTCTCGTTTACAAACAAAAACATGTTTATTTTGTATGTGAATGTGATACATAGATTAAAAAAAACCTCTCACATGGGTGGATATAAAACTGAGTACAAACCAAGCATTCCAGTCCACCTGGTTGCGAGGTTACCGTGCCTCGTGAGAGGTCTCGAGTTAAAAAACCGCTAGACACATAAAGGGTTTGAAACTCAATGGAGTGAGTTTCAACCTTGATTACTCCAGACCCCCCAACCCTCCTCCATTAGACTCCCTGGAGTAAAAAAAAGAAAAGAAAAAAAGGGGGTGAGAGTACTTTGAAAAC